CTACCAAACTTGTTAAATAAATATCTGTTCAGACTCCAATTTGCGGTTAAGGTGTTCATATGCTAGTAAAGAAAATACATTTCACCACTGAACATCTTTTTTTTCACTCACAAACATGTTGCTGACTCAACTCTTTACCAGTTAAATTTGTAAAATTCATGGCCCATGGTTCATGCAGGCCTTAGGGTCAGGCAAAGTACGTTATATCTTTGAAAATCTTCTTTTTTTTTCATAGGAATCCAGCAGGCAAATTTCTGCTCGATTATAATGAGCGACTAGTCCTCTGCATTTTTAGAGTCTAGTGGGGATCAGACCAAAGTACACAAGGTTGAGGTTAAGTTGTTCTATTTAGCTATCTTATTTTTACTCCTGAGCTTCTAGGAGACAAGCAGCATGAATGAAATATGAAGATAACGAACAGTATAGTCAAATTAAAAAGTCCAACTAAACAATAATATGAGGATTGGTCAATAAATTATGTCCTGAACTATTTGCAATAAAAAATAAAAGTCAGATGTTCGTATGCTTTCTCGCATGATTAGATCTTTAATCAACTGATAACTGTTTACGTGACCATTTGTTTTATCACATAATTTTAATTTGAGACACAGCATGAAAATGACTGGTAAAGAATCAGTAAACAAGACTGAAGTAGAGGCTTCAGGAAAGCTGCTGTAAAACTGTAAGAGAAATATTGACCGAAATGTGTGAAGTTTACGGGAACCAATGTTTGTCATATAGCCATATAAGCAGGTGGATTTCAGAATTAAAAAAAAAATTGTAAAATGGGGATCAAAGATGAATCCCAGCCTGGTCGACCAAGAACAAGAACAACAAATGCAATAGTAGCTAAAAACCTTGTAACTAATGATGGTTGATTGACTGTTAGTCACATAGCTAAGTTAGTAGGCATATCTTTGGGGACAGTTCACACTGTTTTGAAGAGGCAATTGATACTGAAAAAAGCTTAGCGCGAGATGGATACCACACATTTTGACAAATGAACAAAAACAACAACAATAAATATCAAAACAATTATTTAAAAAAAAAAATCAATTTACTGTAATGATCGACGTTTGTCAGAACTTCTAGCAGGTGATGAAACCTGGATTCATTACTCTGAACACCAATAAAATGTGGTTAACGAAAAGAGCAAAGCGCAAAGAAATTGTTACTTGCATTTTCTTCAATAGTAGTGGTCTTGTGGCTCAGATTCCTGTTAGGAATGGTCGTTCGATTACTGGACGAGTCTACAAAGAAGAAGTTTTAAAAAAAAAGTTGAAAAGGTGTATGAGGAAGAGACCAGAGTCGGGCATCCTTTACATCAATCTTCACGACAATGCTTCAGCACACACAACACGTATAGTAAAAAGGAGTTTTTGAAGAAAGAGAAGGTTATTGTTTTGCCACACCCACCTTAAATTATTCGCCAGATCTCCCGCCCAGTGATTTTTTTTTCTTCTTCTAAAGTTAAAAAACATTTTTCAGGATATATAATTCAACTCTAGGAATTCCATAGGATCTGCCATATATCAGTATATGAAACCCCAAACTGAGTATAAAAATGTATTTAGGAATTGGATAAAAAGGTTAAAGACGTGTTTCGGTTAAAGGAGTGTATTTTGATGGAAATCATTCAAAAAAAAATTGACCGGTGTTTTTTTTTCTTGTTTTTATCTGAACACCGAGGACATAATTTATTGAACAGTCAGTTCCAGGTGAAACAATAGTTTCAAACGATGATTTCAATTATTTTTTTTTTGTACTGATTTATTTTAAAATGGATAAATTCTGGTTCTGTTGCATCGAGAGCGAAAGCAATTCTTCCAACCTACTAATACTTTAATATACACATGTACTTGTAATTGCATTTAGCTGTATCCTTATTATCTTGTAGGTGTTTATTATTTATGTGAAGCATTACTATGTTTAAGTTTGGTTAATAAGATAAGCAGACCTAAATATTTGAATTTGATATGTTATTTCAAACTAAATATAGCATTTTCCTATGTGCGTAACTTTGTAAAGCCTGTCCAGCTGTGATCAGCCGACCAAATCGTGGACATTTATACTATAAATGTTTCGTACACATGCTTCCTGCAGATCACACGCCAAACACGCCCATCTGCTTTCCTTTATTTGACTACTAACGATACTAACAACAAAAGAAAATGGCCTTAGTCGTTTTACTTATGTTGCATTTTATTAACTTGTGATATATATTTTGAAGAATCTAATTATTTAAATTCAAAAAATTAGAAACAAAGTTTATACACTGAGTCTGTTACATTTCAATCATGGGCGCTATTAAAGACTATTAAAGACTAAAGATAACACATCTAGGTTAAAAATAGTGCGTTACATTTAAATGGATCATTTGCCTTCATGTGCGATTTCAATATGTATTATTACCTTTATACATGTATCACCGGGGAAAATAAGTGTAAAAACTTTCACCGGCAACAATGAAACATAAATATGCTAACGATGAAATAGCATTTTATCATAACTTAGGTCGGTAGGGCGAATTCTGGAAATCCAAAAACTGCACCCGAACAATCCGAAGCCTAGGACTTGACTGATTAACAATGTTGCATGTAACATATAAATAATAAAATATAAAAATGACAATTAGCACAATTCTGAGCATGAGTGACAGATGGCTTAGATAGAATAACTCATGACATGTTGAGTAAATCGACTAAATTGACACATTTTGAGTTACATGGTAATAAGCATAATTAGTCTTTTATGTTGTTTTAAGTAAATACAGATAATTAAAAGTATATTTCGAAGTCAGTTAAAACATGTCATTAAAATTGTTTTTATCAAAAATCACACCGTGATACATGTATATCAGACAGGCTGTATTGTTCGTTTGTTTGATTCACTGTACAAATAAGTTACCGGTAATTGTATGCAAATAGAGAGGGGGGATAGAGAGAAAATATAAATTTATACATTGTGTTTTATATTCCGCAAGTCTTCTTTTACTATTGTATTGAAAATTTAAACGGAATGTTTGAATTTAAAAGCCACTATTCAAATATTTTAAAACATGATTGTGACGTAAACCTTTTGTTTGTGTTGTCCATTCTATAGCTTAATGTTGAGCTAACTCCTCAAACAATCCATTAAGTTACCTGTAAATTTCCATTCTTTTTAAGAATGGACAGTTTTTAAAAAAGAATGGACAGTTAAAACAAACAGAATGGAGAGTTAAAGGTAAACTTTGGAATGTGTTCAAAAGGTAAGCAAAAACAAATACATTAAATAATCTTTAATTCACGTGTAAATAACAGAAAGAGCGCGGAGATCTAAGTTAATCTAGAAAACAATGTCTGTAAAGGATCCACTTGATTTTACCCTTTTAAATCCATAAATAATGCACATTATTTCAATACCCAAAACTCAATTTTCACAAAACTTGAATTCAAATGACACAAAATCACATTTGACTTTTCGGAAAAATCATTCCCTTGAGAATTCATTTTAAGATAGAAATACGTCTAATGTTAAATCCTCCACCCTGAAAACAGTTTGCACCATGAACACTACACTGCTGCAATTAATATTTCCGTAGAAAATAATTTAAAATGTAACATTTCCAGATTTGATTTGAAATACATTTTCAGGTCGAAGATTGGCCCATGGCTAAGCCAATATTCAGAACACAGTTTGCATCTCACCACTACACTGCTGCAGTTAATATATCCTAAAAATTAGAGAATTCAAATAAACATTTCCAGGTTTGATTCGAATTTGATTATCTGTATCGATCGGAGAAGTTCACTTTTGGGTCAAAGTTTGGCTAATATTTCTTTTACTCATACTCTTCCGTTTCCAGATCCAAATATCACCAATTTTATGCATATTTTGGTTTATTAGATTTTGATTTTGTCACATATTCTCTCCATGTATGGAAAACAGGAAACATGCATGCCTTTACAACGCAAACTGTAAACTGATTTAGAAGCATGGCATACTTGAATAAATACAAGTATCTCCCAAAATCCGCCTGTAATTGTCCATATCTTAAGACAAAGACATTTTGTTATTTGCATCTGCAAACACAATGGTTATTTAACAAATTGCTCTGCATCCCTAGCTTACCTATGACTGTCCATTCTGTAAACAATGAACTTGTCATTGTATGTGTGCTACCTGTCATATCTGATACCAGTTTTGTACTTTTTTTATTTAATTTTCAGAACAAAGGAAATCATGTTTTAAGTAGGAGAAAGGCCTCAAACTGTCCATTCTGTGAGAGAAAGAACTAATCTCGGGCCTACGGCCCTCGATTAGTTCTTTCTAACACAGATTGGACAGTTTGAGGCCTTTCTCCTTTACTTGAAGTAAAAACTGTCTTAATCTTAGACTTCAAAAAAGTTAATGAAGGCCGTGCTATCAAATCTATAAATCACTGCTTAAAATAACAGATACCCTAGGTTAAAAAAATTAAATACTTTATTGAAATATTTTTAATAGGATCTGGTTCTAATGCGTTGCATATTTAAAAAGAATGGAAAAAACATCAGCCAGTGAATTTCAGAAACCGAGTTCAGAGTCGACATCTGGTGAGGATTATATAGAACTGGGATCTCTGCAAATGCCTCAGTGTAAAGTCAGTGATAATACCTATTCAATAGTGATATAAAAGTCTATTTAAAAGCAAACTGCAACAACAAATCAACAGATTTATATAAAACATTATTAGATGTTTAATAAAGAAACATACATGTATCCAAAAGATAGTGGGTTTTTTCAGAAGTGTGAAAATTTGGTTCAGATCAAAATCACATGTGGTTTCTTACTACAATTCATTTGTGTTTAAAGAAAATTCAGACTCTTCCAATTTTAAGGCGAACGAAAATGATTTGAACAGTGTCTATTTAATGTAAAATTTAAAAATTTAAAATTTACATCATAAAATTTACATGTACAAAACACTTAAGTGAAAAGTATAACACATGATAAATTACATTGTAATAAATTTACAGAACATGATATTTCCATGCATCCTTGCGACAAAGGTTTGCAGAGGAAAGCAGAGGAAGTGCCAAAATATGAAGAAAATTGCCCAAGTAAGTTACTTTTGGACTTTCATCTATATAAAGATCGAAATATGACATTTTTTTTTCGTTTCAAAGGTATACCTGATCGAATCTTTCTAATAAAGAATACAGCAGATGGCAATAATGAAGTAAATAAAAGCATGTGTTTCGTAAGCTGTGAAATTTAGAGTTATTTATTAACCCACTTCCTGATCTGAAATTCTTAATATTTTACAATGAACTCAACTTTCTTGTATCAAATATAAATTATAAGACCTATTTATTTTTCACTTCATTTTGTGTTTACATGGGAAAAATGTACTTATCTCTAGCTGAATTTAATGGACTTTTTAAAATGATTGTGAATTCACGGCATATCACTTTTGCAGAAAGAACAGGTGTCTCATTAAACCTAATTTGTTAAGTCGGATTTTTAGGTTATATTTGGTCATAATTATTAATGAAAAATGAACTTGTTAAAAAAAATAATAATTTAAAGTTAGGGAAAAGGAATCATGCCATAAAATGTGGCTGCATTTAAAATTTTTACCTCTGGCTCAAGTGCCATATAACTTAGTCAAGCTTACGTTTGGGTCTCTGTCTCACTTTCACAAAAGGAAATATTGTGGAAAAGTGCAACTGAGATCAGGTATGAGCTCATTTAAAAGCATGACCCTGGAAGCCGGAACTCCTAACAGACAAATTGTTGACTAAAATTAAACTTTAAAAATATCATTGATACGGAAGGGTGTATATGTAGGGTCCCGAGTATGTTGAGAAAAAAATCGTGCCTAATACTTCGTTATATTTGAAACAAATGAAACTCTAGTAATAATAGGATAATAATCAATTAATATTTTGATTTTTAGGAGTTGTTTGTGTCTTCAGATCCGGAGAAAAAGAATGTGAAAAAGAATTAAAAAACACAATGTATCAATTCAAAAAGTGGACTTTCCTCATGACAGCAAAGGAAGCTAAAGATATTCTTAAAAAGACGTTAGAAGATATTCAGACAGAAATTAGACTAAAAATAGCCAATTCCTGTTGTGCAATTGAATATTTCTCAAGATGTCAGGAGAAAAATTTCGAATCCTGGGTAGAAAGATGTTTCCAACTAACAAAAATGTGTTTCAGGGATTTAGAATTGCTATCTGTTAGTGGAGAAGTGAATGCAATCCAAAACCTTTCAAAACAGATACAAAAAACAAATGAAGATCATTTTATTTCATTATTCGAGATGAAGGATGTTTGCGGCATTTTCCTTCTTGGAAGAGGAGAACAAATTATTGATATTATTTTAGCCTCGCAAGCATATTTAAAAAACACCATTATACAAAGACCCGAAAAGAATGAAAACATTGCATATAAGGTAATAGACATCTCTTCACTGCAATGTCGTGTAATGGCAGCGTTTAATGGAATAGAACAGACAAGAGAAAATTACCCATACCTGAAAGTTTATCAAAGTGGTGAGAATGTCAAGATGATTGGAAATGAAAATGACTGTGCGGGTGCAACAGAATTTTTGAAAACCAATGCCTGGATGAAGGATGTTCAATATGAAAGGTGCAAACAGTTTAACGGTTTTGAGTTTTTTTTTAACAGAGTAAATGTGCAAGCCTTTATTGATGGTAGAATAACGAAGTATGCTGGTACATGGGCAGTTACTAAACGTACCGAACCTTTGAACAATGAATTAATTTTCATATATGGAAAAACTAGACCCGATGTGGAAGGGATATTGAAAGTTATCTTAGAATCTATCAAAATAAAAAAGATTTCAATTACCTCTTCAGCATGTACAGAGGAAAATATACAAAGATGGAAAGCGTATGCCGAGAAACTTGAACAGAGTTTTGGGGGCAAATTTAATTTGCAAATTAGCCCAAAGAAAGACCCAGGCCTCGTTGCAAATTTTGTCCTCACTTCCGACCTTGTAGATGAGGAAAGTTTAAAGATACTTGTAAATGAAGTCGAATTAGGAATACCAAGAAAGGAAAAGATACCACTAAAACGAAAACATTTTATTTGGCTTCAAAAATGCTATCTTAATTTTTTGAAAACGGAAGCCAAGAAAATTGACATTGGTATAAATTTTGTTTCAGAAAATAATGAAGTTGAAATTGCAGGTCTTTCTTCAGGTTTGACGGAGATGAAACAGTTACTCAATTCAATTTATATGAAAGAACAGAAAATATTGCTCCCCTTTGCAGCTTTACCTTCTAAGGTCACAGATTTTCTAAGGGAAATCCGATGCTGCTTTCAATACAGTCCATTTAAAACTTCAATATTGTGGATAAAAGGAAATACAGGAATTGTCGTATACAAAGGAGATTCTGGAACAGACTGTCTCTATACTGATGTCAACGTTAAGCCTGTAGAGTCTGACGAAAAAGGTAATGAACATACATGAAGCAGTTTAAAGATTATCAGATTTACTTAAGACTAAATCACCCACTAAATTAATTTAATTAAAAAAACTCGTAATTTATAGAATAAAGACACAAAGAATGGGAACATTTGCAAAATTCTTAAAAGAAAAGTTCGCTTAATATTCTTTGGAATTATTGCTTTTAGATAAATGTACACTATTTCAGCGAGCTTTGCAAAATTTACACATTTGGTAAGTCAATTGCAAAATTGTTGCTTTTTGGCTTTTTCGATTGTCGTTTGCCGTCCGTTATCTTTTGAATATTTTTGATGTTTGTTATGTAGCTATCGTGTAATTTTAATTTGATTTGGTAGAAAATCATCTGACAATCACATTATATAAATACTGCATGAAGTTGAGTGTAACATTGAAAATTTTCACCCCAAGAGAACCATTGTCAACCGATTCGCAGGCAATCGAATACAGAATTTGTTTTATACAAATACATATTACAATGAACCTTGCGCGCATAAATTCTGCGCAGCCAATATTGTTTTTTGAATATCACCTGTCGTCAAGCAATGTCGACTGTTGTTATGCTGGAGGGCGTGGCTTCATTGTTCAGCGGATGTTTTTAACAAATGTTTCTCGACGAATCAGATTCAACTAATTTACATGAAAGATAATATAAAGAAATACAATCTACAAAATAATAATATGTTTGCAGGGCCATGGTTTTATATTGAGAATATATTATGCCGTTGAAAATTGTCTTTGCACGAAGAATTGTCAGACATTATGTAATGCATGAAGATTATGAACTGTAACTCTGCAAGAAAATTGTAAAATGTATGTTCTTGTTGGCGAAGGGTTCTAACTAGGATTAATAAGATGCATTACAACTTTGAAGTTCTTAATAAATGTATCATAAGTGGACAAATTATTAGTGTCAATTATTCTCAAATAATAAATTTCATGTTTCTCAACATTAAAGTTGGGAAGATTGGGCATATGCTCTGAAATGAAATATGGAGATAACAAACAATTATAAATCCCAAACGTCCATTGAAACAATACAAATTGGGAGCAAGGCAAACGCGGACATCTAAAAACATCAGAGGTGGGATCAGTTGCCATGAAGGAGTAAGCGTCCCCTGTCGACCGGTCACACCCGCCGTGTGAAACTCGTGTTCAGGTTAAGTCACTGCTTATGCTCCACTTTTTTCAATCTAATTGCATATATAATCTTTTTGATATTATATATTTTCAGATGTGGTTGTTGAATGGCTTAACGACGAGAAAACTGCACAATTGAAATTTCCATTATGGCGTGGAGGGGGGACAAGAGAGAAAAATCAAATTAAAGAAGTTTTGCAACTGTTATTTACCGAGGTTAAAAAGCAGAACAAAAAATATGTAGCTTTTGACTTGCAAAATGTGTCATTTTGGCCAGTTGAAACTTTTGTTGAAAGTATTATTGACTGTGTCCCAAAACCCCCAGAAGGCCTCATAATTTGGATCAGTCACCCTGATGAAATTACGTTTCAAACTGCCGTTAACTGCCTAAAGGAAGCAGAACTCACCAAGACTGGGCGAAGTATTAAAATTGCCAAGTTACTTTCTGAATGCTGATTAATTTTGAATTTTTAAAAGTTTTTAATGTCAAATTAATTTATTTTTGTTAAATAGTGAGTTACACATGTTAAGTGAACAGTGTGAACTTTGCTTGCTTAGAATTATTTCAGAAGATAAAATGATCATTGTGAAACATAGTAACTTGATAATGATATATTCCTATTTTCCAGATATGAAAAGTTCTAAAATTGAGTTAAAAGTCATCAAGGGAAGGATAACAGAACTACAAGAAAAGGTATTTTATATCACACGAACCAGACAATCAAGTAAGGCAATACTATTCATATGCAGAAAAAGAATCTTATACCACTGTAATAGGAAATAAATGTGTTCTTAAAAAAAAAAGCTACATTGAGTATATTTCCCATTAAAGGTAGATAACTAAAAAAGTAGAATTAGAAAAAAAAAACAAATATAGAAAGGAAAAGGAAATGATTGCTTGATTGATTGTTTATCGACGAGTCTGTAATATTTCAGCCATATTTCGGCGGATAATTTAGTTTTTAGCTCACCTGAGCCGAAGGCTCAAGTGAGCTTTTCTGATCAAAATTTGTCCGTTGCCTGTCGGCGTTGTCGTTGTCGTTAGCTTTTCACAATTTCATCTTCTTCTCCAGAACCACAGGGCCAATTTCAACCAAACTTTGCACAGAGTATTCTTGGGTGAAGGGAATTCAAATTTGTTCAAATGAAGGACCACGCCCTCTTCCAAGGGGACATAATTACAAAATAGTGAAAAATTAATGGCATCTTTTAAAAATCATCTTCTCAAGAAGCAATGGGCCAGGAAAGATGAAACTCATGTGGAATCATGGTCAGGTAGTGTAGATTCAAGTTTGTTCAAATCATGACCCCTGGGGGTAGGGTGGGGCTACAATGGACGATCATAGTTTTACATAGAAGTGTATAGGAAAAATCTTTAAAAATCTTCTTCTCAAGAACAGCAAAGCCATGATTGGTCATATTTATGTGAAAGCATCCTCAGGTGATGTAGATTCAAATTTGTTCAAATCATGACCCCCGGGGGATGGTGGGGCCACAATGGACGATCACAGTTTAACAAAGGAGTATATAGGAAAAATCTTCAAAAATCTTCTTCTCAAGAACAGCAAAGCCAAGATTGGTCATATTTATTTGAAAGCATCCTCAGTTAGTGTAGATTCAAGTTTGTTCAATTCATGACCCCCAGGGGTTGGTTGGGGCTACAATGGATGATCAAAGTTTTACATAGGAGTACATGTATATAGGAAAAATCTTTAAAAATCTTCTTCTCAAGAACAGCAAAGCCATGATTGGTCATATTTATATGGAAGCATCCTCAGATAGTGTAGATTCAAGTTTGTTCAAATCATGACCCCCGGGGGTAGGGTGGGGCAACAATGAAAGTTTAAACTTGTAAGAAAAGAAGCCACAGTTAGTCAAAGAAATATGTAAGCATCCTTAGTTAGTGTAGATTCAATTTTGTTCAAATCAAACCCCTCAACACCCCCCCTTTTTTTTTTTAAGTGTAAGTCGGGACCACTTATGCATGTAAGCTTTTCAATACTGAACTGAGTTTTGCTTTTTTTCTAGCCACAGTGCTCAGGTGAGCGATATGGCCCATGGGCCTCTTGTTATAATCGGTGTTGAAAGGTTTTGGTTTCTCTGGCGGCCCCCAGTGAGCCTACTCTTTTTCGAAATCCAGAAAAACGATCTTTTACGTGCCAAGGGGATTGTAATCCTTGACACGGGGCACAAGAAATAGTGAACTGCATGCATTTGTAAATATAATACGTAAAGTAAAGTTGAAGTGTTTGAGGTAGCATTGACAAATGCAATGAACAGATGCAGGATTTTCGAAATGGGGGTGCTTAAAGAATATTCTACATAAACGTCAAGTACTGAAAAGGTGCATAGTGGTGGTGGGAGGGGGGAGGAGAATTAAAAAAAAATGAAAATTTTTGTCAGTAAAAAGATATCTTTCATTTCATCTCATTTCTTCCATGTTGTTTATAGGCAGCATTGCATAGTTCAGCCCCCCCCCCCATCACAACAGCTTCGAATTATTTTATGTATTGTAAACGATGCATTATTATGTATTGTAAACGATGCATTGATGCTTTTAGGTGGATGTGATTGTAAATACAACGTCATTAAGCTTAGATATGACAAGTGGAGCAGTTTCAGCGTCCATACTAAAAGCTGCAGGCGATGGACTGAAATCAGAGATAGCTCAAGTTCCAGCCGACCGCAAAACTGGTCAAACAATTAGGGTCAATTATGGGGATGTTGCTGAGACCTTCGGATACAGATTGAATTGTGAGAGAATCTTTCACGGGGCCCTTTATAAGTGGAAGGATGATCAAGAAAAATCATTAAACGTAAGTAAAACATTGAAATAAATAAAATTTTGATGATTTATCCTTTAAAAATTATTTCATATTTCAAATAAAAACAACTCGTATTTTTTCTCACTAATCAGATAGATATAGCCAAAATGGCCTCTCAGAATTTTATTGTAATCAATCAATCGTTAATGGCGATTCTCTTATAAAATTCTGAAATACATGTCCTCTTGGTTAAGACCCTTGAGGGCCAATTGTTTAACAAATATTTAATATTAATTCTTCTCCTGGATACTCAGAAGAGAAACAATATACATGATGGTACTTAAACAATAAAATGTATTCATTTCTTTGTAAGCATGTGAATTGATGTTGCAGCTGTTAAAAAAATATGACCCGCATAAGTGAGTTACCGATAAGTAATTTTTTTTCTGCAATAACTGCAACACCAATTCCCATAATTACAAACAAAGAAAGGCATTTTATTGTTTAAATTTATGTCTTTATAAATAACTATTTAAATTAGGATTGAGTATGTCACAGATTGTATTATTGATATGTACATCTTTGTATGTTTCTTTGATGGACGAGTCACTGCTCAAGAAATCTATATAGCTGGCTTGCTTAGCGATGTTAAAGTATTTATAAACGATCGTGGTTTTCATATGATGAAAAGAGATAATATTTAGTGGATGCAAATATTATACCATATCCATTTACAAAAGATTTATGTATCATGGTTCAACTCGAGCCTCGATCAGGGGTGGGTCAGTCCATCACATATCTAAAATGAATTACACAACTACATTTTTAACACTGTGCATCTATCAGACAAACTTTAAGAGTTAAGATTATCAACGACGTAATCTCTGCCTAAACTCATGAAATATTTGTCCAGAATTCTAGGTAAAGCTTTGTTTCAATTGCTAATTTGGTGAGGTTCTGATGATATTAAAATAATTGTGAAGGTATACTAATATTCACTGAAGGTTGAGCAAAATAGCTTTATTCGATGATAGCTTCTATTCACAAATGAGTTGTTATGATCGATGAATGAAACTGGTTCATTCTGTATACTTTAAGAACATAATATAGCAGCTCTATCACGAAAAGGATTTGAAACAATTTAAGATTTTTTAAAATTCTTCAAAATCATACATCAGTTTTAAATATTCTAATATTCCCAACAATCAAAATGAATTTGAATTACCATACCTATACTGGATCCCTACACTACAAACAAAGAAACATAGCGTTCCAGTAAATGTTCTATCAAGCCTCTTTCTTTACTCCGCACTAAAATATTAACACCAGTGAAGGAGAAACTTCAGAAGTAATGTACAACAATATATTCGAGAAGTGGTGTAAGTCAGATGTGGATGCTAAAAAAATCCAAGGAACTTTCAGAAAATTTGAAATCACAAAATTTTACCAAAATCAAAAACATCAAAACATACTACGTTTTTTCAACACTTTATACAACCATTCCCCACGATAAATTAAGAAAAGAAGCATAACCTTTATTAACTTCATTACTCATCTATTTACTTAATAATAAAATAAACAGTTTCCATTTACAAGTCATCTTCCTTTTCGTTTTTATACGCCCGTCTTAAGGAGGGATTCTTCTCTGGTTTCTGACTAGACGAAATAATCCAAGTATATTTGCTTGTATGCCTTTTATACTTAGCCGTAATGTACTTAAAAGATCATATTTTTCTTTACTCATCATAATTGTACAATTTTAGATAGAGATGGTAAACTGAGTTTGAAATCCAGCAGGGACTATACTATTGGCGCAACTGCGACATATGAAAATATCTCCTTTTCTGCCTATTAAAATCACTTACAGAACAATACATTCAGTTAAATTTTTTAAACAATCAAAGACTTAAAGAAATTTTGAAATTAGCTAAAATTAATAAAAATGCCCTTAAGTTTTAAACTATAGCAAATAATAATGATTTTCTAAATAAACTACAATTTTGTTAGCTTTTGAAAGCTTCAGATCTAAAAACAGATTTGAGCAAAAAATCAGTAAAAAGTGTTTTTCTCTCTTACTAAACGGTCAAAGCTTTCTGTTTTCATATCATTTTGTATATTCTACGACTACTTTACCATATGTGAAAATAAAAAATATTTAAATATAAAAAGTATATAAAAATAACTAATATATCCTGAAAAATTAAGAAAAACAGAGGAAATTCGGATTAGCCAATATCCCTTTTAGTTAAATTATGTCAATTAATTTGGTAGAATCATCTGATAGACCCGATATGGTAACATCTTTTTGTGTAAAAAGAAAAACATTTTATCTTTTAAAATAGAACTAGGCATCACATGATTAGCAACAGTAATTTTTTACTCTAAATGTCAAGGAAAAAGATAATGACCTTGACTTGACCTTGCTTCTAAAATAAAACGGTCAAATTCAAGCTAAATGATACCATCACTTAGTGATAATGTCTTCTTGAATCTATGAAAATTTCATTAATTTTTAAATACAAGAAATATGAGAAGAATGAAATATATGAAGACAACGAACAGCATTCAGGCTCAAAAGTTCTTCAAACAATACAAAACAGGAGCAGACCAAACACAGACCTCCAAACATCAGAGGTGGGATCAGGTGCCATGGAGGAGTGAGCATCCCCTGCCGACCGGTCACACCCGCCGTGTGCTCCATGTCATGATCGGGATATAACGGAAAAATCCGTCGACAATTCAGTGTGTAAATAATGGCCTAACAATTTGTATGAAAAACGTCAGTCAGCATTTGACTCAATGATAAATTGTATTTACTGACAAGGTCATTGTATCGACCATAGAACTTACGAAATGATGACTTTAAACGAGACAGCTGATATTCTTGTTTCATCAACTTGTTTGTCAATAAAATACCTCGTTTTAGAAATTGTAGATACGTAGAGCATGCTCTTGCGTATCGAATCAACTGAGAGATATGTACCCTGTATGCAGGTGATGAAGGTATATTGCTGCATAAGTAAGGGAAGTTGACGATTGAAAAGTTAAAGTCATTACGTTTATCATAAAGCTTGGTTGTTAGATTACCATTAACGTCTTTTTCAAGTAAAATATCCAAATATGAAACAGATGTGTCAGACTCTGTGGTATCTTTTATCTCAAGCTCACAAGGATATATCGTTTCGACATAAGAATGGAAATAGCCATTGTTAATTGACAATACGTCGTCGATATATCTAAATGTCGAGTTGAAGGCCACAGCAAGTGTTTTCTTCTTTTCACGTACAAGATTTTGGACAAATTCTGCTTCATATGAATACAAAAAAAGGTCTGCTAAGAATCCCTCCTTAAGACGGGACGTATTATGTTATGGCGTTCATGTCCGTCCGTCTGTTAGTTTTTTCGTGTCCGGCTCATAACTTTAATACTATTAGGCCTAGAATTATCAAACTTTGTCAACTGATATACATCTTGGGTAGAAGGTGTGTCGCGCATTAGAAGTAGGTCGCTTTGACTATTTAGATGCTATGGCCAAATATGGAAAAATCCTGTCCGGCTCATAACTAGAAAACTATTAGACCTAGAATCAGCAAATTTTGCCAATTAATGCATCTTAGGTAGAAGATGTGTCGCACCTTACTTAAAGGTCACTGTGACCTTTAATTTAAGTGAAATTAAAAAAAAACTATGTCTTTTAACTTTTAAATTACACAATCCTAAAAGATGTAAGAGTATTGCAGTATCCTTATTTAAAAAAAAAAGTTAAATCAAGAAAATATACATTTTTTTTCATTATATACTTTATAGCAATCTATGACAAATTGTAATACTATAAAAGAAGTTCCACTTAATTCTCCAATTTGTCTATTTACAATGTATCAAGCACTGGTCAATTTTGATAACAGAAAATTGCATGTCAAATTAGAGATAAATTAATAAGTTTAGTGTAAGGATATAACTGGTAGAGCATCTCTGATCAAGCAGGTATTATCTTTATTATATAGTCTTTAAATAGTCCCTTTATAATCCATACAAACGCAAACAGTTCATAATACTACATATTCACTGGTTTTGAAGCCGTATTCACCGGAGGGTGAGTGCGCATGCAGCGGCATTGTGACGTCACAATCAATACCTAAAACAACGTTGAAAACAATGGTTGCAACGGCCGGAGCCAGCTGTATATGCTGTATATCTGAGCAGGAAAACTTTTAGGCAAATTTCTCGTAGGGTTATTTTCCAATCATTTCGATGTTTTACACACAACAAAAGGAAAACACGGAAGTTATAAGTTATAATCGGAACATTTTTTTTTAAAATTTTTCTACGACAGAAGTTCGTTAATGAAAATGGAGTCGTCATGCAACCTAGGCCTTCTATGTCTTATTCATTCAAATCCTGACTATATAATAAAACAATTATGGACTCTTTCGGTGGTGAATATGGTTTGTTATTCACCAGAAAAATATCAATATTGACCGAGGCTTCGCCGAGGTCAATATTGATATTTTTCTGGTGAATAACAAACCATATTCACCACCGAAAGAGTCCATAATTGTATAATATCTCTTGGGAACTGGGCAAAGGAATCAGCCTCTTAATTGCTTATGTTGGATTAAATACCGGTAGTTCTTGCATGTTTGGTAGCCTAACTTTCAAAATAAATTTGGTGGAAAGTAATTAAAACTTATTTGATATTGAACTATTTAATTAAAACTAATTTGATATTGTATAATATTTATTTTTAAAATTTTATTTTAATGTTTATATCTTTACAATAAATTGCAGAGTGTCATGTCTCACTAAGATGACAATTTTATAGTCTAAAGAATAAAATGATTTGTTTTGATTTTTATTAAGCTGTAGCTTTGTAAATCAATCATAAAATATACCATAAACGAAGCTGCAGATTTGCATTTGTTAAGCTCTAATACGACCATTGAGAAAGATACACCACAGGAGATCATTATAAGGAATGGAAAAAATCATTGAAATCTTTGTATCAAGGTTGACATGATTTTCTTGTACTATAAACTGTTTGTGATAATTGAACAATATTTGACGGGCGTATCATGCTGTGGCGGGGCACTTTATTAACATCATAGACAGCTGCTTTTTTCAATAAAGATGGAACTCATAAATTTACTTAATGTTACTGGTCATTTACACAATTATTTTGTTAAAAATACTCTGATTGTACACTTAAGCACTTTGAAGTTGATATTAAAAAGATTTTTAAGTTTCTGATTGACAATATCTAAGTAGTTTTCGGAGATTAGGTCTTCCAACAATTTGTCGGAATTCCCATGGGTACCAATTGCGCCCTGTTATTGGCAGACCTATTTTTGTATTCATATGAAGCAGACTTTATTCAAAAACTTGTTCATGAGAAGAAGAAAAACACTTGCTGTGGTCTTCAACTCGACATTTAGATATATCGACGACGTATTATCATTTAACAATAGTTACTTTCATTCATATGTTGACTCGATATAATCCAGTGAACTTGAAATAAAAAGATATACCACAGAGTCTAGCACATCCTGTTTCATATTTGGATATTTTACTAGAAAAGAAGTTAATTGTAATCTAACAACAAGACTTTATGATAAAATTGATGACTTTAACTTTTCTACAACATCTCTTACTTAATTAGCAATATACCCTTATCACCTGCATATGGGGTTTATGTCTCCCATTTGATTCGATATGCAAGAGCATGGTCTACGTACGAACAATTTCTAAAACGAGGCAAGCTTTGACAAACAAGTTGATGAAACAAGAATTTCAACAGTCTCGTTATACGTCATCATTTTGCAAGTTTTATGGTCGATACAATGTGCTTGTCAGCAAATACAGTCTATCATTAAGTCGAATACTGACTAACGTTTTTCATACTAATTGTTAGGCCATTATTTATACATTGAATTACACATTAACCGATCATGACAAGGAGCACACGGCGGGTGTGACTGGTCGGCAGGGGATGCTTACTCTTCCATGGCACCTGATCCCACCTCTGATGTTTTTAGAGGTTCGTGTTTACTCTGCTCCTAATTTTTATTTTTTCTATGGACATTTGAGCTTGATTACTGTTCGTCATCTCCATATTTGATTCTTAAGATTGAAATACGGAAATGTCTTGTTGAATATATGGAAAATCAAGTACGGAATCTTAGGACTTGGCCTACAGAGATTAAGAAATCTTCGAATCTACCAAATTATTTTAAAAAAGACTCTAGGGGCCAAATTTATGAAAAAAGGAGTAATGTTTAATATTCTTTTAGGTTCTCCGACAATTTGTGAAGAAGTGCATATCTCGAGCAGACGAGAGAAAATTAAAAACTTTGGCATTCCCTGCCATTGGAACCGGACAGTTAAGAATTCCTGCAGCTCTGGTAGCATCTAGTGTGAAAAACATAGTTGAAGAGTATGCAGCTTCAGGCGATCACAAACATGTAGAAAAAATCTTATTTGTTATTCATGAAAAAGATGAAGACAATTTCAAAGTGAGTGAATATTTTAGTGTAAAAACTCAACAATATTTAAACAAATGTATTAAGTTTCCTTCTCCAGTAGATTTTGGTCTGATATAAAAATATGGTATTCAGAAAGCAATGATAATAACATTTTATTTATTGTTATTGTTACCTATCTACTTGATTTTCCGTGTTCAGGTGTTACTTTTCTCTTAATTACAGTGTATATGTACAACTTTAGAGATACAGTCGCACAATAGAGACTACTAGTTTAACGCGGAGAAACTAAATCCTTATATCATCTAATTGTGTCTTTTCTTTTTAGGTGTTTCGAACTATTTTGGAGCACGAAAATGGTAATTGTAATGCATATATTCAATATTTTACTTAGCGAATGATTTTTCCCAAAGAGAAAAAATAATCTGAAAGAAGACAATACACTTATAAAACAAACAAACAAAATAATAAATAAACAAACAAACAAAAAACAAAACAAATAAATTTGTCCGGTTAGCTGTTTATCTGTGAAGTTGTCCGAAATGTCACATTGATAGTTTATAGACATGCAATATTAATTTTATTATTTTGAAATTCTTATTATAAAATAAGAATATAAAATATAAAAAAAAATATATATAATGTGGTTTCTGATTGGTAAATAAATGTGAGTTTACAAGGAAGATATGTTCGGAAACAGGCCTTTATTAAAGATTAGTTGGTTCTGTTGTTTAAGCTCAAATCAATCTGTCATATTATGCGATTAAAAAAAAGCTTATAACTTATCTCTGAAAAAAAACTTTTAGCTTTTACAGCAAAGTTTTATATCCCAACTCCCTATGTTTTGGAGAAGACCCATATAATTTTGAGGTCATAAATGCAAAGACATTTCTTATTTATTTACTTTAAAAAATCTACTGTATGCTTAACACAGTGGAGCTTATTTGATCTCCTTTGGTATTAAAGACTATTTTCGATCTATATTATGTCTTACAGGGAACACCATAGAAACGCCTGAGATTCCAGTACTATACAAATTTTCTGTGTATGGTGAGGAACACAATGTTGTGGGTGCAATGAATGTTCTGGCGGGACTGTTTCGAGAATATGTTAAAGAAAAATATGAATTGGTAAGCTACGAACAGCTGATTTGTTCGGCAATATTTACATTATTTTTCAAATGTCTTTGCCCGAGATAAACTCAGATAAGGGAATGTTTTATATCTTCATAAAGCACTTTACGTACTCAGCATGTTACAAAACTGCTTTTTCGCTGTGTGTTGCTTATATTAGTACATCAGGGCTTGCAGACTTAGATTTCTAATTAATACTAGTACATGTATATAAGAGTATCATTTTATCTATCAAGGATCAGGTAAAAAGGTAACCGTCTGGTTTATGCTTTCATGATGATGATAAATCAGTTTGCTCGCAAACTGATTGATCACATCATAAATCTTTAAAAAAGTGACAATTATTCCTTAAAACGGTAAATGTACACTATGTAAAAACTTCTATGGAGGGATTTTCAAAAATACTCTAATTTAAGTATTTAGCTATTTTTACCTTTCTGTGTAAAGGAAAAGGCCCGAAAACTGTCCATTCTGTGAGAGAAAGAACTAATCGAGGGCCTACGGCCTAGTTCTTTCTCTCACAGAATGGACAGTTTTCGGCCTTTCTCCTACTTAAAACATGATTACCTTTGTTCTGAAAATTAAATAAAAAATGTACAAAATGACAGGTAGCACACATACAATGACAAGTTCATTGTTTACGGAATGGACAGTCACAGGTAAGCTAGGGATGCAAAACAATTTGTTGAAGAGCCATTGTGTTTCCATATGCAAATAACAAAAGGTCTTTGTCTTAAGAATGGACAGCTACAGGTGGATTTTGTGGGATACTAGTATTTATACAAGTATGCTATGCTTCAAAATCAGTTTACAGTTTGCGTTGTAAAGGCATTCACTTTTTCCTGTGATGGAGAGAGTACATGACACAATCAAAATCTTATAAACCAAAACAAAATATGCACAAAATTAGTGATATTTGGATCTGGAAACAGAAAAGTAAGAGTAAAAAAAAATATTAGCCAAATGTTGACCCAAAAATGAACTTCGACGACAAATACAAATGATCAAATTCAAATCAAACCTGGAAATGTTTTATTTGAATTCTATTTTTGAGGATACATGTATATTAACTGCAGCAATATAATGGTGAGATGCAGATTGTGTTCTGAGTGTTGGATTAGTCATGAGCCAATCTTCGACCTGAAATGTTTTTCAAATCAAATCTGGAAATGTTTCATTTTTATTTATTTTCTACCGAAATATTAAGTGCAGCAGTGTAGTTTTCATGGTGCAAAGTGTTTTCTGGGTGGAGGATTATATATATATTTGACGTACTTCTATCTGAAAATGAATTCTCCTCGAGGGAGTGATTTTTCCGAAATTTAAATCAAATGTGAAATTGTGTCATTTGAATTCAAGTTTTGTGAAAATTAAGTTTTGGGTATTGAAATAATGAGCATCATTCATGGATTTAAAAGCGTAAAATCGAGTAGATGCTGTGCAGATATTGAGTTCTGGATGAACTTTGATCGACGAGTTCTTTTTGTTATTAACATGTAAATTAAAAAGTATTTAATGTATTTGTTTCCCTCTTGAACACATTCCAAAGTTTACCTGAAACTCTTCATTCTGTTTGTTTTAACTGTCCATTCTTTTTGAAAAAAAAAAAAGTCCATTCTTAAAAGAATGGACAGTTTTCCAAAAAGAATGGACACTTACAGGTAACTTAATGGATTGTTTGGGGAGTTAGCTCAACAATAAGCTATCAATGGACCACACAAACAAAAGGTTTACGTCACAATCATGTTTTAATTTGCAGTTATGAAAGTTAGGAAAAGTAGAAAATAATTATAAAAATACAACTGATGATACGGTGATATTATGATTTTCTTAGTATCTTTGCAATTTTGTTTAGTCTTACCCCTGACTTCTTCTTGCAAAATGGTACTAGTACTTTTGGTATATAGTATGCTGAATGAAGTGGTGTCTTTTCCTTAATTGTTTCAGGCAATGTTATCTCAAGAACAAAAGAAAGATACACATCAGCAGGAAAGTGTTCAAGTTCAACCTATTGTAAAAACAAGTAAGTAAAAAAAGGTATAATACACTTTAATAGAAAATGGTGGAACAATATTTGAGAACTTTTTTTATATTAAGGCGAATTTTTCAGTTTGACTAATACCCATGAAGGAATTCAATCTAGAAGCGTTATCTTGAGTCTCCAAATTAAACCTTATTATGAAGCATTTATTTTTGAATTTCTTTCATATATATTAGTATTTTAGCTACTGAGTAATTTTTTTCTTAGTTTATAGTGTTATGTCAATCCAATGTAAAATCGAAATTTGAAGAAAGCTTTATAAGTAGATTTGGTTATATTTTGGTTAAATTTTGCTATCAATGGCGACAAAAAATTCCTGGGAAAACTCTAGTTTTTCAGCTTATGAGGTTTAATATATGAAGTTGTTAAAAAAAAAAGTCAATAAATATTGTTTAATTTACGTTTTAGAACGTTATTTGTTTAATTGTTGCACAGTGTAATCTTGCTTGTCATCAATCAGTTAAAGTGCAATAAATATTTAAAGTTTTCTTTCACGGATGATATAAAATTTTTAAATGCTTACCATAATGTTTATCGCAGGAGAGAGAAAACTATTTTTTATAATTCTCTTCTTTAAGATGAAAACGCCATTTCTCAGCCAGCTGCAACGGTTTCCTCCACCGAAGAGCAAGTTTATTAAGTTTTACGTTTATTTATTTATCTAAAAAATAATTGAAATCTTTCTTTTCTTGAAAAAATAAATAAGTTTTATTTATCAATACATATGTGTAGTCCGTTATAAACGATGTGTAGTACTAGTATAATATCAAGACTCTAGGTTAGGATCACGTATCATATTTATTTCATATGTACAGCAAAGAAAGTATTTTACTGTTTTTGATCAAAAACTTTAGGATAGCAATGCAGCATGTAACACATGTATTAATTATTAGGCATAGTATTGTTTCAAATTGTAAACACTAGAATTAAAATTACAATTTCGTATTTTTTCATCAAATTGTGTCCGATATTTTGTTTCTGGTGGAAGTTAAATGTTACAATTTTTTATTTCTTTTCCTCTTTGATTTTGTAACTGTGTTTCTAATTGCAGAAATAAATTTGCCTTCTCATACGAGGACCAACTTTGTCTTCTACTGCAAAGTAAAGAGAAAATGGTTTTAACGGAGGGAAATCTTGGACCAGTTTTAAAAGATGCGAATTGTGAAAACATACTATGCCCATTCTTAGAAGAAGAATGTGCATTGATTAAATTCAAATCAGCAAATGGTAAATGCTAGTTTAGATAGCTATTGTATTGAAAATTTAATTCGTTTGGAGTTGTTATATTCTTTGATACTATCGTTTACTAGGAATGAATATAGACTTACTTTAATATAGACTTACTTTCTTTTCTTACTGACAGTTGCAGATAAATTCTTTAGAAGCTTTGTAAATGAAAAATACACTTTGCGGAAACTGCCTATCCAGGTAGGAAATACGAGTATATATCTCTATTATCTACTGAATATCTATCTCTCTGCTCGAAATGTGTTATTCTGAAAATTGAAATTAAAATTAAAATGCATCGTGATCATTAGTAACGAATTTTCAGTAATCCTCGAAATCTCTTTTATATTTGCCATTTATAAGTTATTAAAAGAAAATCATATTTTATTAATTCTATAGACATGCTACAAGAGAGATAAAAATGATGAAAGTAAAAATAAGAATCACAAGGAAAATATAATGAGAAATCCCTATGTTTAAAATCCACGAAAATATAAGAGAAATCTAAATGTCTGAAATATAGATTAATGATGAATTCATAACTACTTTATGCCTAGGAACTGAAATACTAGTATTGAAATTCTAAAATTGCAGGCAATAACAAATATCAAAGCAAAGCTAAGTTCTAAAGTAATAAGCATACTAAAAAGGAGGGGAGTTACATCAGAGGATTTTAAGAGAAAGACCGGGGCTTATCTTGGCACTGATACATGGACAGTAGAAGGAAGCTTGCTTATGGTACAGAACGGAGAGAGATTTATTAAAGAGTTGGTAGTCCAAGAGTATGAAGCACCAAACTCTTCTATACAAAATGGGAAACAACCTGCAAATAGTCTGGATTCCACACTAGACACAGTCTTATCAAGGAAGTATTCAATTCCATGTAGCATTCATAAAGAAAAAGCACTAAGAGAACTGTTTTCAAGTACGGAACTGCCTTTTTCCAATGTGAATATTGTTGAAGTCATAACAGGTCAAAACATGATAAGTGGAACACAAAGAAATGTAAACCCCTTTGAAAAAGCCCTCTCAGAATTACAATTTGAAGAAATTTCAGAAATTTCCTTGGTGGAATTTCAGGACTTTGAGAAAAATAAATCAGAGAATATTTCAGTTTCATTTGATAAAAAAAGAAAAACTATGATAATACTTTCGAGATCTCTTGAATTGCTACAACGTTCCGTTGAGGAGTTTCGAAGATTACAACATGATTCTTTGGCTTTAACTGAGGGAGAATTCAATTCGATCATCTTTTTTGAGAAGTTATTGCGCAAAGATTTTCCAAAAATTGATGGAAAAATAATGGTTGAAGGTCCTAAGTCTTTCGTTGATCAATACAGATTAGTATTAGATAAATTGAAAAAGTATCCTGTTCAGAGTATTTCTATTACAGACCGTGTCAGAAGTGATGCAAAAATGTTTTTATCTCAGTTTTCAAGAGAAAATAAAGATGTATACGTTCAAATGAAAGAGAACAAAATATTCATTACTGGGAAGAAAACGGACGAAGTTCTTTCCGCAAAGCAAAAAATAGACGAACAGATAGAAATGTTGAGAAAACGGAACATAGGTCTAGCAAGCAGTGGTATCCATGAACATAGCTTAGCCTCAGTGAGTACGAAAAAGCACGAGAAAGCTGACATCCCAGATGTAAATCCTAAGCTTGTATCGCCTAAGAAGACAGACATTGTTTTTGAAAATAGGGACGTGAAAGTTTATGTTTTCAATGCCAATATTCTCCAAGTTAAAGCAGATGCAATTGTGAATCCGATGTCGACTGATTTGTCTCATTGCATACTCAGTGAAGCAGGCCCCTCAGTTCAAATGCAATGTTCTGAAATTTTTGATTCAAAGAAAGATAATGTACTTCACCTTGGAAAAGCCTTTGTCACAGATGGGGGCAAATTGTCTCATCTGCTAAAAATCATACACGTGAATGTACCAAACTGGAATAATTACGCTGAGTTAAAAGTAGAGAGTCCATGTGAAAAATGTATGGAAGATATTGCTGAAACAGTGAAAGTTTTCCTAGAGAAAGGACATCACCAAAATGTTAATGCCATTGCAATACCACCTATAAGTACATGTAAGTAATCATAATACACACTACTTAAGACATCCAATAAGATTTGAAAAAAAAAAAATTACTTCGAACCTTTTTAAATTTATAACATATCAAATCCGTATATCGTATTCTACCTTTATCTTCACTTCAAAAATATGAATATACCATCTTTTTTTCAAAATGAAAAAAAGACACTGATATGCTCTTTAGTGACGTCCTTTTTTTGAAAAACATCAAGTAATTAGTAAAATGCTAAATTTGCTTTTTAGTCAATAATCGATGGTGTTTCGAAAAGGTTCTACATATCTCTGCATCTTCTGTCAATAAATATACCATCTTTTGCCGCTTTTTGCGCTCAGCTTGTTTCATTGGATCATGTATACCTCTATGTTATGAATATATTACTTGATTAAAAAGGAAATGTAGTTTCAAATTTCAAACATTGCAAATATAAGATTAATAAAAATGATTTTAATGAACTAAGCAAAACTCAACTAATTTGGATTTTTAATATACAATAAAAATTTGTGTTCTTCTTCCACTCACATAGCATTTTTATCTTATAGGAAAAAAATGAAGATTGATAATTCCTTTATTTTATTTCTTTCAGGTGGAGTTGGATCTGTGCCACTTCCTGTTTGTGGTAGAGCGTATGTATCTGCTGTGACGTCATACATAGACGCTTACCCAAAGGAGGCCACAAATAAAATCAGAGAAATCTACTTTGTTGATACAGATCAGTTTAAATTAGACGCCATTAAATTCGCATTTAGTGGTTTACAACATTGGGTTTTCCATCAAGCTGACAACGAACAGCATTTTTATCATGGCGGAGGAAAAGTAATCAAAATATTTGCCAGTGAAATTTTATTTGCAGATGCTGAAGCATTAATAGCCCCACAGGATGTTGAAATGAAAAGTGAACGTTATATTGCCAAAAGTCTTAAACGGTGCGAATGCAAATCATATGATCAGGAAATTGCCAAGTTTCATAGATGTGCATGGTGTGTCGGAGATATCAGAACCACATCTGCTCCGAAATCTTTGAAATTTTTCCAAATTTTGCACGTTTATTCCCCGAGTTGGAGATCCAACGTTCCATTAGATGTAAAAGCTAGAGACTTGAGGACCTGCATTAAAAACATATTCAAAGAGGCATCAAAACTTAAGCTTGGGACAATTGCAATACCAACATTTGGTGGAGGTAATTAAAACATTCTGATAAGACATATTTGTTCATACTCTGATTTTGAATGCTGTTTTGTTTGCAAAATATAGTTATATAATTTTCTAAATTAAAAAAAAAATATGATGTAAATGGTTTTTCAATGCTTTAACAAATGTATCCAATTTTGTTTTCATGTTAACGTTTTGCTTGTCGAGAAGAAAGATACTAAAAGTTTGCACAAAGATGGCCAATAAACCATCAACATATAATTACATATTTTCTTCATTTTTAGGAATAAAAGACAATATCATCAAGCAGAAAATATTTAAAGAAACTGCTGGAGCAATCGTTGAATGTCTTAAAGGAACTCCTTGCTGCACTATTCGCGTCATTTCCATCATAGACAGTGATGAATTGAACATTGCTTTAATGATTTTAGAATTTTACAACATATTGAGTCAAGATGGAAAGATAGAAAACATGGACTTCTTTGACGTTCAAAGACCTAATTTACAAGTGTCAGAAACTGAAATTTAATCTGGAGAGCATCCTAGTAAATTGAACGGTTTGAAATGTAATGTCTATCAATTTAAAAAAAGTGAAATTAATTTTAGTATATCCATATCTTTCTTTTCATTGTACTTGCATCTTGCATCTATAACACAAGATTTAGTACTTGAATCTCTAATTAGGAACGCTTCTTTTTCTGTAATGTCAAATCAAATAAAGCTCATGTAGGATTGATATATGAACATTTAAATTTTGTAGGATGCAACCATGCTGCATTTTAATTTGGTTTTTTAGCAGAAAAAATTACATTAATTTTATTTATATTGTAATGCTAGAACTAGGACTAATTCAAAAGTTTTGTGGCTGTATTATGTATATTGTATAATTGTAACCACTGATGATAATAAGAAATCCATTACTAGGGCTGATGTAGCATTAAAGGACATATTTATTTTCATTTATAATAAAATTTTCCATAATCAGAAGCAATGTTAAGTAATGCTGCAAACTATATCATTTGGATAACGAGGTCATCCCCTATAAATTCAAATTTGACTTGATATGAATTTAACTTCTTATACTATTGCTAGTTTTACATAAGAATATATAGGAAAAAAATCTTTTTCTCAAGAACAGCAAAGCCACCATTAGTCATATGGATATACAAACATAATCAGGTAGTGTAGATTCAAATTTGTTCAAATCATGACCCCCTGGGGCAGGATGGGGCCAAAATGGGGGATCAAAGTTTTACATAGCAATATAGAGAAAAAAATTCCTTAAAAATCTTCAAGAACAGCAAAGCCATTATTATTCATATTAATGTGGAAGCATCCTCATGTCGTGTAAATTCAAGTTTCTTCAAATCATGACCCCCGAGGGTAGGGTGGGGCCACAATAGACGATCAAAATTTTACATAAAACTTGCATAAAATCTTTAAAAATTTGATGCTCAAAAGAAGCAAAGCCATGTTGAGTCATATTGATATGGAAGCATCCTTTGGTAGTGTAGATTAAAGTATGATCAAATCATGACTCACAGAGGAGGATCGAAGTTTTACATAGGAATAAATAGGGAATAGGGAAATAGGGAAAAAAATCTTCAAATATCTTCTCAAGAACAGCAAAGCCATTATTTGTCATATTGATATGGAAACACCTAAGATAGTGTTAATTCAAGTTTGTTCAAATCATGACCCCCTGGGTTAGGGTGGGGCCAAAATGGGGGATCAAAGTTTTACATAGGAATAAAGAAAAAATTCTTTAAAATCTTTTTCTAAGAACAGCAACTTCAAGCCATGTTTAGTCAAATGACTCAGGTGAATGTTGTTGCCCATGGACCTCTTGTTTGCATTAATGTATCTTCTTTCTTTAGGTTCTTGTTGATTAAAGCAAATATATATCATACTTCTAGAACTCCTATGTTCACAGCAAGGTAATGTTATGTAATTGTGATTAAAGTACCTCACAATATTTTCTAAAAAGAAATTTTAAAATACAAATATGATTCTGCTTTATTATAAATAATAGCAACAAAACAAACATTGGTGATTAGTTTTTTATATCAGGCTACAAACTTCCTGCTAGCAAGATTTGTAATCCTGAAAAGTATGCTAAAATTGATTCATTAAATGCGTGTATCCAGTTTTAAATATACAGAGGCTCTATTTAGTACAAGTTCAAGATTCCTATCCTCAGAGTTACATTCATCCATGTATTACAGTAACAATAACTATATCTAATTATCTATTACTTTACATGTAATTCTGTAATGTATTTTGCCTCTTATTGAAATTAAATCATGAAACTTAAAATAAACAATTATATTAAAAAAAATCATAAATATCACAAATTGAGTAAGGTACAGTATATACTCGGTATACTTATGTGATACACTGTATCATTTGAATCAGTACTTTTTATTTAAAATAGTATATCATTTTTTCCATTGTTATTCATTGAAATGAGTGGACAAACACACTATTCTAAATTAGCTAACATCAATGCCCACTTAGTTTAACCTTAGTAAACTGATATACTCATTACATCTATACACTGTAGTGCACTGTATGTAGTAAATAAAGTGAACTGTTACAACAAATACTTTGCACAGTGCCCCTGAAATTCATAAACCCAATATTATTTATTTCTGCAGCATTTTTTTTAATACTGACCCTACACTCTGTACTTATCTCTTCAACTCTATGATTTTCTTTAATGCATACTGGGCAGAACTACGTTTTAGCTGCATTCTTAACTCATATAATGTACAAGAACAAATAAAGATTTGACGTGAATAAATGGGTACATTCAGGACTGATAAATATGTATTAAAGCTTTTTAGACTGATCCACATGTATATGTTTTTATAAGTTAATGTAGCTATATTTACATTGTACAATATCGTTTTGTTTTAAAATCACATAGAGGATGAAGCACTGACTAAAGCAACAGTGTCAAATAAAATGACATATAATCACTTGATGTTCCCTGTTTATCCATAACCATGGTAACTTATTTTGGAATGTTACTTACAATTATAGTCCAATCACTTAACACTGGGATATTGTTAACAACCATTTATCACAATTCGAAATGTTAACCTGATTCATCACTATGATGAAAGTTTAATTTCTTTCATCACTAATTCAAACATGTCTAACACACCTTACAGCCAGTCATAGCTTAATGTTTTCCACTTCAAACTAATCTAACCAGCATCACAGTATCTCTGTGCTAAACACTTTCTTCTAAACACAGGAAAACACATCCAGGGTATTTGGGACTGTTAAATCCAACTAACAAACACACTCCCTCTGGAAATGATTCAGTTTGGAACTGTTACTTCACACCTCCTTGGCTATTTTTCCAGTGTCATCTTTTCTTTGCTTTTTCCTGAATTTGTAATTGAAGTTTTCTATTCTCCTGTGAAAGCCGTGCTATTTCTCCTCCCAATGTATCCAAGCTCTCCTACAAGTAGAAATAAATGTTAAAATTTGGGATAAGTATTCTGATTTTTGTTTATCAAGAATCATTCAGCAATTCTACTGTATGTTATCAATTTTGCAACGAGTAAAATTCAGGATGCAATGTAGTTTACATCATAACATTTACATTTCCAATTATTTTTCTTTAAGATTCTTCACAAATTAGAAAACAGTCAATTTTTTTCATGAACTACCATGGATAATCATGATTGTCTCTCTTGTTAGGTCATAAGGCCAAAAATAAAATTAGCTTTGTTTGGCGTTGCCGGCCGACTCACATAAATCGGTGCAGTTCGAAGAAATTTTTCAACAGATACTAATCATAATTTTTATTTTGTTATATTCATCTGGATTTAGGTGTTCATACGTTTGCGTAATATATACAGAATGTGAAAGAACCATGTAAACGCTTGATTGATCGGTTTTCATTCATAAGCGTCTATGTGATGTTGAATAAATGCGTATCTGAATCTAAGCATGGCTGTCGAAAGCGATATCATAAAATGTGAACTCGGTATAACAGAAGTTGATGGCATGACTCTCTGTGGTAACGTGGTTTTAAAAGTAAACTGATGAAAACGATATACCATGCAGTTCGAAATAAAAATCTCACGGTACAATGTCCTGTCCGATTTGCTTGATGAATCTAGCTGCCATGCTTGGATTCGTGCACATGATAACGATCGACTTTACAAGTTTACACTAAATAAATTTAATGTCAGTGATTTTTAATACCATGTATATTAAAGGTTTAAAACTAATAGGGTTTGAAAATCAATGACAAAACTGGGAATCAATTCGGACTGGGGTTGTTGTTAAACTATCGGAAACCCATGACGTTCGGATACTAACAACAATCTGAAATTTAAATTAAAAATTTTTTTTTTTCCCTACCTACCGACCCAAACGTATAAAGACTAAGTCGGCAACGCCAAACCAACAATATTTTAATTGTGGCCTAATACCAAACTTGACATTAAAGCTATAGTGCAAAATGTTTTGTTTTAAAAATGACATTTGAATGGCATAATTTCTGGTAACTCATCAGATAAATAATGTAAATAGAAGAAAGGAATTTAATTTTTGAAAATTCAGCAGGTAAATGAACTTCAACATTTCACCCTAGCATATTTATCATGAAGAAAAAATAATGCGCTTCATGAAATATGCATTAAGCATCGAGTTTATGTTTGCATGAATTTTCAAAGATTAAATTTACTTCTTAATTAAACTGTACATATCAAATATGAAATATACTCATTTTTGTTATTTACGTCTGTTTCTGTTATATATTAAGGCACAAAAATTTTAAAAAACCCATTAAATTGTCTGTTTCAATTCATCGCATGTGGACAATAGCTTCTGGTCAATTCTGAATGTAAAAAAAATTGAACAGGTGAGTATAAAACTCTACCTTCAGAGTGATATTCTTTAGGAGGGTGTCTTCTAGAACAGCCTGTAACTTGTGGTTGATTTCTAAAGAGAGGTCAAGGGTCATTGCACTGTCAGTCTGGTGAGAGCTGTACAGAGATCCCATAATGCTGTGCTTCTTGGACAACTCCACCTGTAAGTAGGAAATTATAAAATATAATAAATATTTCTGCTAGGACCACCTCGTCTTATACATAAGAATTTTTTAAGCTTTATATACACTTCAAACTTAAAGGTTCTTATTAAAATTCATCAGAAAAGAACTTTTGTCAATGAGCTGTCTAATGTCTATGTCCTGTAATGAATTCTAACAAAGGAACATATGGACATTTTTCTACCTTAACTCTTTAGTTTCCTAAGCACAGCTAGTACAAAAAAAAATTATTTTGATTCTTTCTCTTTTGTTTGCTTAAATGCCTTGCATGTCTTAAAGGCCTAAATAATAAAAAATAAACATTGTTAATTATAAACTATTATATTTACAATAAACACAGCCATCTCTGTATAATCTACATACATTTCAATACAAAATTTGTTTTCATCATTATGTAAATACACATACTTGTCAAAATTTACAAGACAGAACACAACATCAGTGGTCAAATACAATTTGACCATGACAACTCTAAAGTAGCGTACTCAAATATTAAAAAGTGCAATAATATGCAATTCCTTAGTTGAGGAGAAATTCATCAATTTAACTACATGTATCTTACTTAGATGCTTTTTAATACATGTGCATAATACAATAAAAGTGCAAAAGTATTTTCTTTAC